ACCTCCGGCTTTACGTCCTTATCCGAGAAAACGAGGCAGTGAAAGAGTAAAGTATCTTGCCCAAGGACACAACGTGATCGTCCAGTCTGGGAATCGAACCCTGGCCTCTCAGACCTGAGTCCGGTCCCCTAACCACTAGATCATCACGTCTCTCTTAGTACAAATTAGTACTACTAATTTTATACAGTTGCACGGTTTAAGTGCGATCACTCTACAAAATTGGTAACTATTTCACGGCCTTTTAATTCAAAACAAAAGCTTTATACAGTACTGTTTAATAAGCAATTAACATATTGGATCGATATTGGACACAATTTTATTATTTTACACAATCTCTTATTGGCGCAAAATTGTACAAAGTCGGAATAATAACACTTATTTTTACGAATTCTGAGGAAAGTACTTTGAATGACTATTGTTCATTATTATTAACTTTCATGTTCAAAACTAAGTTGATCCAATTAAATCTAATACAAGAGTTTGAGAGCACCCCTCAGCCAAGCGTCCGAGACGCAAACGCACACAATTTTAGAACGTCACGTGACAACATTGTCAATGTCATCAGCATCATAGAGAATCAGGGAACTTCTCCAAGTCCATTCCAAATACAGGATTTACTTTTGCAGTTGAAGCCATGGGCAACGATGGGACATTCGACTTACTGGTAGTTGATTGCGAGGATGCCTCGTTGAAAATCGCACGCATTCGACTTAACGTAGGACTAAGAAAGTTATCATGAAACCAAGAAAACCTTTCCTTCAGGACTTTCTTAAAGCTATCGTGGCGAAATGCGTACAAAATGGGGTTACAAAATGAATTAATGCACAAACATGTCACAGAAAAAACGTTACTAAAATAATAGCGAAGTACATTAGACGACGGACCAAGGGTAAGGTTTTTTTCTTTGAAGATTATAAACAAACCGCCCATGAAAAGCACAGGCAAGAAGAAGAAGGCCATGTTAGTAAACACTATCAAAGCTATTCTTTTAGCAAGTCTGGACTCTCGTTTAACACCAGCATCGTGAGCTGTACGCTTAGCAGAAATATAGATATGGAGGTATAACAGAAAACACATCAAGTAGAAGAATAGTCCAACTGAACCAATGAAAATGGTGAACCCAAATATGTTCGTTGTTGCTCCATAGGTTACTCTAATAGGAATGCAGAAAAATGTGAACTTATAGAAGTTAAAATACAAGGCATAGGAAGTTAAAACCGCAGCAACAGACCAACACACAGCGATCAAAATGACAGCCATACGCCCAGTCATTCTTACATCAGGTCGTACAGAGTGCACAATGTTAAGATATCTTTCAAGTGTTAATACAAACGTTGTTATGACTGAACCTGACTGACCAAGAACCCAAAGAAACCCAATCTTCCAGCAGTATACATCTGAATCAAAATGTAATCGAATAAACGGATGACTATTCAGATATACTGTAATGACGACAATATAGACGCCTATAATAAAGTCACTAAGAGCCATGTTGCATACTAACCGCATTGACGTATTACTGCGCAAGCGTTTCGAGGTTAAAATAGTAAGAAAGGCGATCATGTTAAAGATAATGGCCAAATAACCGAAGACAGACTGACAGTTGATAGCAAACAGAGCCGCACTCCAGCACTCGTTTTTGAGTTCAACTGTTAAATACTGGGAACGTAAACACCAGTCTGTGTATATGCAGCGGAATTTAAAGCTAGTATTGTTGAGTAAATGTACAAATTGAGACTGATTTTTGAGTTTTTGTACGCGCGAAACACACCACGATCTTGTAAAGATAAAGTCTGCGAATAAAGTCGTCGAATTGCTTCGGTACAACAAGCAATTTGAACACCGCATTGAATACGACCATCCAATAATGCTTCTGAGCATGCGCAGCTGAAAGAGTTCGCGGTTTGGTTTCCAATGTGGGATGTCTGTTACATCGATAATTGACAGCGATGGCAGTAAACCCGTGATGTTACCAGAAAATGAGGTAAGTGGATTTTTTGTCAGGTTCCTGTGGATAGATGTATAGCACAGTGAAACTGATGGTGCAGCGATCACAAAAAAGTTTGTCAACTTACAGTACTGTCAGGTTGTTCAGACCATGGAAGACATCGTAACTTAATACTTTGATCATATTGTAAGCCAGTGATCTGAAAAAATAGTAAATGTCAAGACCATTGTGGATTGTAAAAGGCTAGTAATAAGCAAAGGCGGATCCAGGGAGGGGCAAAGGGGTACGTGTTGTAGCCTCCCCCCTAAGAAGAAAAATGAAACTGTTTTTTAGTATAGTTATGTAAAAAGATAAATTTAACACCGTAAAAAAAGTATGTGAAATAACTTACTGACGTTTCGGACGTTAATCCTTCGTCGGAGTAAAAGTGTTTTTTAGTATGTTCAATGTTGTTTATAACAAACAAAGCCCAGCCCGCCCTAAAACCTCTTACCCCCGCGCCCTCCCCCTTAAAATTTCAGCTTGCTCTATAGTTCTCCCCATTTTGAAATATCCTTCAAGTTCTCTCTACGTAGGCCCCTACTTTTTCTGATTTTGACTTTACGGCTGGATGTCAATGTTCAGTATTAAAGTGTGCTAAAACACCTTGCGTTGTAAGTCATTTGCCATTGATTGCTAAGCAAAATACGATTGATCCACCCTTCCTTCGATGGAATCAAGAGTCAGTAATACTTCTACTTTTACAGACATTCATAGTGACTTACATTGTATGAAGGTTCTTAAATCTAGAGAAAGAAGCCTTTGTGATATTGGTTATTTCGTTACATGAAAGGTCCCTACGGAAGCAAAACTACATTGAAGAATACCAAGTTTATGATCATTGATAACAATGGTTTTAATACATTGTCTRTCCAGCTGCCTTGCAAAAAAAATCATATATTTTTAACTTAATTGAGAAAAATCCCGCATTCCTAGAAAAAAATGCATTCATATAAAACGGCATACGCAAAGAGGACAAAAAACAAAAATATGCAAATGAAAAGACAAGAAAACGAGTTAAAAAAAAAAGATAAAAAGGTTGAGAAAGAAAAAGGAAAGGAAAGCTAAGCATGAAAGAAGGAAAAGGAAAATATTTCGTGTTTAGTCAAGGAATTTGGCATTATACATCAAAAAAAAAAAAAATAAAAAATGAAGACTCGAAAATTATTGAACTGATAAACAAACGATAAAGAAAACTGAGGGGTCGGTAAACAAATACAAAGAAAACTTACAAAGTTTGCACGTTTAACTTGTCTTCTACTAATTTTCCAAGATGATGTACATTAGTTGTTTTGCACACCGCTTTACGACCTTCAAAGCGACAGAAATCCGTTCTTCGTGAAGAGCACTTGCAACSCGCAATACAGTCCTTATCTGAACCAACAAGTAATACCAACAAGACCATTACAAGACGACCAAAATGTTGCAATAACTTTGTCTTCGCCATTAAATTAAGCCTAGTAATTTCATAAGTACGCTGTATTGCATGAGATAGAGACCAGAATTGAAATGCAAGAAAGGCGGCTGTTCAAGTGTTCCTCTAGAGACAGCTTTTGTTCAACCCAGCATATTGTTTACCACTCGCTAAAATCTASAATATAAAAAAAGTTTTTTCTAAAGGTCTCGTTAAGGATGCTTAATTTTGAAGGCTTGTGTTGTTCTGTAATTGTATGCTAACATTTATTCAATGACAATTCTCATGAGTACATGGCATGAATTTGAAAGAAAGTGAATGTCTCCTCAGGAAGCAATAACATATTCCGTACCTTTTCAAGAAGTACTCTTTAAATCCATTAATCAAGAAGGTCGAATTAAGGCTTTGTCAAAAAATTCAATGAGTTTAGCTGAGTACACTTATCAACAATCAAGGACCTCGGAATACAGTATTACAATTGTAAAAGGACCCCATGCATGCCTGTCATGTCTGATGGCCTCAGTACAAACGTTCTATTCCGCCCCCCATGTTTTTAGCGTATAATAAATATCTTTCTAATTCAAAAAAGACAATGATTGAATCTACCCCCCACTTAATTGGAGTAGTGATAGCTTTGCATACATCGGGTGACTTGTATAAAGACACTGAAAACAAGAGATATTATCTGAAAGAAATGTTTTTAGCATGTTTCAGTCCAATTGAGACTCCGGTTAGTTTTTTTTTTTACTAGTTTTAATTACTGGACTTTCCTGTCAATTAGCTGTCATTGCTGTCAATGTTAACTGGCCCTCCCCTGCCTTACTCTCATTCCCCTCACCGCC